GCAAGTAGCCAATGTATTTGTTCGACTCGTTTTTTCTCTGGTTTCCTGTTGTCATATGTATTTGTGTCATCGTCATGGAGACCCATTATACATAAATGTGTATATATTTATGTGGGGTCCTGTGTAAGATGTTAAATTCTCCTCATCATGGAGCCGACATTTAGCTAATTTCAGTCTAGCACTTTAATATTCGCCAGACAGTTCGAAAAGAAAACGAGAAAAATACGAAAGCGCTTGTAAGCTCAAAATGACCCTCCGAGTCAAAAGCTTGACTTTAGCAGTTAAACCAGAAAGAGCAAGAATAAACATTTTGTGCACTGAAACGGAACTGGGAAACCGTAACTGCCAGGATCTTTGGAGGCTATTGAAACGAATCTGTGGTAGAAGTGCCATCGGAGAAACTGGAAGCGTGGATGTTGACAAACACATTTCTTAGTTTAGTTTCTCGCCGTCGAGCGCTTTTCCATTACCCTCTTTCAGTAGCTCATATGCAGCCGTCTTATTTGATTTAGGTCAACAGATAAGTCAAGAAGCTAAATACAAATAAAGCTAGAGACCCTGGTCGCTTAGTAACCGTTGTTTTGAAAAAAAGGCGACTATTCCTTTACATTAACCCCGACTGCTATTTTAACAACTGTCTCACGACCGGTGCCATCCCCGAAATCTGGAGGTCAGCCGAAATAACGCCAATTCCCAAAATGGAGCCTTACACGTATCGGCCTATTGCCTGTACTTCAGTGCTCTTAAAAGTCCTCGAAAAGCTACTAGTTCCACGGGTTTCCACAGCCACTCGTCCCGTGATATCTAGCAGTTTGTGTTTAGATTCCAGCGTTCCACGCTTGATGCTCTCTCACTTTGTGTATTCAATAGCCACTACGCTAGAAAAGAAGTGCAGATCAGTACGGCTTCTTTTTCTTGATTATACAAATGTGTTTGGGAATCTTGATCGATCAGTTCTGCTTAATCTACTTCATTTGCAAGGAGTCCACCCTGCTATTTTTAACTTGTTACGTGGCTATTTCATTGATTGTATGCACTTGACCCAAGTAAACGGACAAACGCTCTACGCTCCGCGATGAGTGTGGTGTTTTTCAGGGCGCGATCATCTCACCCCTTTTACTCTCTTTACATGTCGAAAATCTCCGCATACCCTCAACATTCATTGGATGTAACTATGCTGACGATGTTGTCTTGGGGTGCAGATTTCCCACCACCGAGACGTCTACGCTACATTGGGATTCAGACGAATTTGTGAGTTGGTATTCAACTATGTCCCTTAAGCTTAATGCTTTGAAATGTTATTGATGTAACCTTTGCATTTCTCCGCCGTCATAAATTGCGAGTAAATTTAGATGCCACTCCTCTAGTAAATTTGGAGGACAAAACCATTCCTATTTGATCCACTGTCAAACATCTCGGTGTCTATGTTTCACAAGACCTCTCTTGATTCATGCACGTTCTAGAGACATTTTACAAGGGCAGAATGATTTATTTTTATGCATTATGACTTAAGAAGTTCTCTATACCGTGAACCTTAATGTTGTGATTTGTAACTGCGTGTATACTACACCGTTAGTTGAAGTGTTCCCCAGTAATCCCACCTGGACTACTGCAGATGGACTATGTTTTGAGTATGCGATCGATTACACATATTTCCAGATGTGATGGCTTGCCGAGAGATTTCATTGTTAGTTTTATTGCTTGTAAGTATTTTGACGCTTGCATGAACTTTTCTTCTAAGGTTTTAGTTAACCGCTCTCATCCATTAAATGATGCTCTCTCACAAACGTAATCTGTCCCTCAAACACGCGCAAATTGTAGGATTTTATTCGCTCGCACTTCTTCATATTGTAACACAATGTTGTCTTATTTGTCACGCTTTAGAGTCGACCCTATGAAAGTCATAGATCTTTTGCGCATGGGGTTACTTGGATTACATCCACATCTCTTTGGCTATTTAATTCTCCAATCTGTGTTTATGTATATTTTTACTTGTCCTATTCATTTAATTATAGTGTAAACGCTGCTAATGCGCCTATTTATGTGTATAAAATCTATTTTGACTTGGCTTGACTTGACCGAATGGACTAGTGTTATCGGCAGAAGCAAGGGTTTAGCAGTATTAACGGCCCAGATGTCACTGACAATTCAACCACTTGGTATTTGTTATTTCTAACCCCTATAGGTAAAATGTGTTTATATGATATGAACATACAACAGCTACCTATACAGAGTCCGAATACCAAACAGTCCACATAATCAAGAAATTCATTTAACATGTTGATAGCAGAGTCCACCTATTGAGGATAATGAATGCACTGCTGTATAACTGCAGATCGAAGTCCAAAAGGGGCTATTGAAAGCTGGTTACTCCAACAGATAACGTGAGTCATCGGTGTGATACAGTACACCGTAACTAAACTTCGTACCCAGATGCGGTGTATATGAGGAAGCATAATGACTATCGTCCAGAGATTGAGTAACAGACATGCCACAGACGTGTACCAAACTTTGATTGACACAGTAGTTAGCATTGAATTAGTATCCGGTTAGATTGAGAAATACTCCGAGTAGTTGATTATCCTAAGGCAACCGCCTAACTGGTTTTTACCGACTTATAAACGCAACCCATAGACGGATGCGTTCCTTATTATAACTTAACGGCTAGTAGTTCTTTTCTTATAAGGAATATTCTCTACCAATGCAATCAGAAGAGTTCGATGTCAGACTATTGACAGTTTTCTTATGCGAGCGAAGTTTCGCAAGTTGTCACATTACGCTGAACTGCGAAGAATGTGATACATGTGGACGACACTATGTTCGTTGACCGCAATTAACCATTTACTGCATGGAGTATCCGCAGTCTAATGCGAAAGTTTGCTAATTTCCCTCAAAATCACTCCTCTGTTTTGGCGTTCGGAAGACGGTTTGGCGGTCAAAACAAGTTGGCGGACAATTTTCTGCTATGTTGTTTACAGGCAAGAGTATGCAGTAACGGGTTAACTATGAATTGATCTACGCCATCTAATATTTTGATTAGATTAGGTGTTTGATCGAAAGCTTTCAAGATATAACAAAACAACCTTTCGATCATGTAAGTTTAAAGTAAAAGATTATGTTGAACATGAAGTGGGCATGGACATTTTGTGCGCCAGTCGTACGCAATATCGCCAATAGGAGGAGTCGAAGCCAAAACATTGTGATACAAATTTCCCGATGTAGTGCACCTTGAGTGTGGAAATGAAGAAAACTAACAGAGTTCCTACTATTGACAAAAGATCGTGCACCGAATCACTTGGAATGTTGGTTGGTACTGCAGATTTTTCATCTGCAACATCGGTAGCAAAAAGTGGTATCAAACCTTATACACCTCTTCGTGAACAGTTTTGTGCATGTTATGTGGATACGAATGAAAGCGCCTTGTGACCTTAACTGTCATTGTACCGAAGGAAATTTTAATGGAGTCTAGTAAAATAACTGAATGTAAATTATGATGGTTTAAACAAACTAGCGTTAATTGAACATCATTAGCGGAGTTCTGTTGGTCCTTGCATAGTGATCGCCTGGTTATAAAATGTGCAGCAACATCACTTATACCAATCTTTGTTTGTAATCGATCTAGCTGAATGTTACTTTGAACAGGAAGCCTCAAGTAAGTCAGTGTTGAAAAAGCCATGCACATATATTTTGGCTAACAGTATTTGAAACCTTACGCGCTTGAGAAATGAACTCATGGCGTTAGAATTTTCTGGTAATCTTTAGAGTTGGAAAATGTAGGATATTGCTACGCATCAACTTAGCTTGCAAGAAGAACGTGTTCGTTGTCGCTGGGATAATATGTGCAAGAGTTAAGCACCACCTTGTTTTTATATCACTTGCTTGTGTGCATAGTAACACCAAGCGAATTTGATAGCTGACATTGTTCTGTTCTTCGAAGTTGTTCACTGCTGTACTTAGGCTGTCCTGAAGAAGTTTTTACCTGTGGCCTGGATACCCATTACCTATTGATGGACAGATAAATTCAAGCTACTCACTCCACAATTACGGCGCTGTTGTAACCTATTTAACAAAACCCCTAATTAGCCATGGCAATACCACAAGTTTTAGTAAAACGATTACATGTGTTGGACGGTTGAATGTCAAATTCTTAGAGTTTCGAGCTTAATGGAGATCCGGTTCAGCTGAGCTACCTGTTGACGTGGTTTCTGTTATATAGAGAGAAGGATACATGCCACTTGGTACACATGGAACGATAAACCATTTCACCCACAGTGCTTAATCATCCGGACAATTTTTCTTTGCTACAGCTTTGTGGTAGTATTTGCCTAAAGAAATTGGCGGGAATCGTGAGCATCCCTTGTTATATGCTTATCTATGGTATCAGTATTTGAAGCGGAGTTTGTTAAGTACAAGTAAGTGTCTGCACGCCATCATGCCTGATTACTATTTTTATAGCATAATAAATATATCTGAAACAGGGAAGGTAAAATCAAATTGGATGCGGATCACAAATGACTGTTTACAAAAGACCAGAAAAACTGAGAAGTACAATCATCATGTGTCTTTCTATAGTCAGTTATTCCTACATAGGAAAACTGAAACTATAGTTTTGTAAAATTGCCATAAGCAACTCCGCACCAGATTAGTGCATTTACCTTCGAGGACTTATCAGTTGGGACGAACTAAACTTCGCAATAGTCAAAAGCAATGGGCGTAGAAACCAGCGAATGTTGCTAAGCTTCGGGGAAACTAATGTAATGAAACAGTATCCTACTATAAGTTAAGAATTCAGTATCCAGTCAGCAGCGTCGGACAATGTATCTGTCGTTACGCTACATTTCAGCGGTTAGGGGTAGCATTATTTGTCCATTCAAACCAATCTTATATAGCTCGTTCTCTTCTCTGACTTACGTTCGAGGTTGTCGTTGATGGATACAGCCAAGCAGTTTTACATGGATCATATCTGAGTTATTTGATTCGATCTTTTAAACGCAACTCACCATCATTTCTTGGTTTGCCTCTGAAATAGTTCACGAAGCGGTCCCAACCTTCGTGGATGTAATTGTAAGCGTGGATGAGTATGGGGAAGGAAAATTGTGGTTTTGTAGATGGTGTAAAGATAAGCTAAACACGCATGAACACACATATCAAAATAGAAAACGATAAACAAACTCTGAGAGAGAAAACTAGCACATCTTTTGACGCCTAAGTATTTGAGGCTTTTTTACCAACATTGACATTTACCGCACCCCATTTTACTTTAGAGCATAAGATCAAGTTAAGTCAAGTCAAGAATGCGCTTTTATGCACCAATGACGGGTGAATCTGCAACCATAACAAACCTGCTATTGATAAGACAAAATGCAATTCGATAACAAATAAACAGCAAAATTGGCTCACTAAAAGATAACCTCACCGGCAAAAGTTACCGGTCAGTTTCTGAACAATAACCTTTTCGTCAAAAGAAATCTTGCTAACCATTCGCTTTCATGCGGACGCATAATTCTCTTTTGTTTATTCTGGTCGACGAGGTCGATAAGCAATTGGAAATACAGTGTGTGTGAATAGAGAGTGGCTAAGTTCAGACAGAATTTTTGAATTAAGCGTGGTACATGAATTTGCGTGTTTTGATACAATTTTTATAAATTTGGCTTCGGAATACCCCTGCAGCAGGACAAGTGTTTCAGTGACCTATTCAGCAGCTTGAAATGCTTACACATTAGACCTGGAGTAATCACACAACAATAAGTCGACTTTTTTAGAATACATGCAGTAATGGACTTCATAGTCAAACTGTATGACACACAGGATGATCTCATTCGAACGGCATAAAACGAAACTGGCTTGACTTTGGTGAATATTTGCTTCAGGTGGAGTGATCATGACAACTCGTGGCTCAGTGCAACTCTATAGTACCTCGCTGATGTACGTAGGCTCAAACACTCAATCTGAGTTTGGAACATTCCCTGACGAGGTCTTGATAACGGGCTGATTTATGAATTGAAAACTGGATGTCATTACACCTGGAAGTGTTAAGCATCAAGCAGCTCGAGTCTGGTTATTGCACTGATTCGTCTAAACAATTTTTCAGCTTGGTTGAAGAGGTCAAGGTTTGATGATTCACGCCATTGATAATGTCGCCCGCATATATTAACAGGATAGTTTCTACTGGGATAGATATAGAGCTAATGTAAGTACAGAACAGGCATGGTGACAAAATAGCTTCTTGCAGGACACCGGATGTTATGGTAGGTGCTGAGGAGATTTCGATGTCAAACCTGGTGCTCTACACACTTTTGGTAGAAGTAATTTTCTAGCAATAATACTAGAGAACGTTGAATACCAAATGTCTGTAGTTCTTGCAGCAGTCATTTACGGCTTTCACCACCGAAAGCGTTGCTGTATTCGCGGAAGCAAACACGTGTGGATTTGCCGTTACCGTCTGGCGACGACAAGACTGAATCCACCAAATAAGCCACTGCATCTTTTGTGGATCGAACTTCTATACGCAAACTGAAATGGGTCATGTAAATGGCACTGGGCCACCATCCTTTCAACACTGATGTTCCAAATAACTTAAAAGCCACCGAGAAGGATGCAGTAGACCGATATTTACAACCAGCGGTCGCAAAATCGTGTCGTCCTGCCTTATTCGCCTTTTAATCGTCGCATATATTCTCACAGAGACCTACGTACTATCATTCGATTTGTCTCCACGAGCTCCTCCTACCACTATTCATCTTTTAGTTCGGGCATTCTTGGATCACCAGCAAACTGTGTTTTTGCAATTTCGAAGTCAACCGTGCTTAAATCATATCGGATAATGTATTTTTCCTCTCGTCGCACCAGAACACTTGTGATTTAATTTTAAAGGTCTTTTTGAGAGCCACCCGAACATCTTACAACCATTCCTTATGGCCTCTGTATCAAGCGATAGTTTTCAATTTGATCCCTCTTTGGAGCAGCCACTGTCGTCATTAGACAGTATTTTCCAAGCCATCTTGCTTTGCCTCAATCCTAAGCTGCATCGCTGCCTGTCCACATAGCGGCTAGATGGATAGTAAGCACGTAGCCTATCTACCCCAAAGAAAGTTTGACTCATCTGGACACCACAGTCTGACCCTCGGATTTAAAACCAGCGCCGATAGCCGCGTAACCAAAAGTGAAGCGAAGTCAGTATCTCTGTCCTCATGCTATCCCCAGTATAGTGTACATATCCAGTTGCTCCATTCCATCTTGTTATTGTGGAATCTTTACACCATATCACCACCATCTGCGGTCATTCCTAGTTCCCTACCCCATTATTGACCGAGACCACATATATCAGTAGAATTACTCCATTCCAAGCTAGCGGTAAGTAGATAAATGGGAGATCTACAGCCTAGATTCTGAATTCTCCTTTTCTATCTGATCCCTTCTGGAAATGGTGCAAGTCATAATAACAAAGTGCACGCCCCAAATGGATTTTGCCCATCCGAAAGTCATTTGTGACCTATGTGTAAAATCCGTTAATTCTGGTCCAATTTTCTTTAACTGTCAAAAAGCTTACCATTCGAAGTGTTTAGGGTTTAATGCATTCGAAGCTAGACAATACAGCAGCAAAACCGAAACATTTGGTTTCTGGAGGTTTGTGAGGTGTCAAATTTGTAGAAAGTAGAAGTCACGATTAAAATTCACACGCAATAATGTGCCTCGACGGAGAATCGAACCCCGGTCCACGAATTTCCGGTCCGCTGCTCTACCACTAAGCTACTGAGGGCTGACGATTAGGTGCACAAATAATTTTTTCTGCCAGGTGTGCAAATCCATCCCTGTTTTTAGTTGTGTATTCTTCCTAATGAAAATTTGTGGAAACTTGGCGGAAACCGTGGAGTAACTGATGAACACTAACAACACATCATTGAAAGTAAACGATGCTACACGTGCATCTGAACGAAAACCTACAAACTCTCCGTTTAGGCTGAAGAAGAGGGCCAGGCGTCCCAATCTCACCATGGCGTCTCAGTCTGCAACTACCCCTAGCCACATGACTCCACTAAATGAAAACGTCGTTTACAACTCACCTGCATCTACCTTCTCCAAGGGTGTGATAACTAGTAATTCAGTTGACATACTGGAAACACAAAACTCCAGAAAGCCCACGGTCAAGAATAACCGGACATCGTACGCAGCGGTTGCTTCTAAGAAAACGCCGTCAAAGACACATCTGACTTCAATTACCGGAGAGGGCGAAACCTCGCCTCAACATGGACCGCTATTGCCAGTCAGATCCGCAAATTTACAACAAAAGTGAAACCAGTGTTCTTAAGTCGCGAACCACAAGGCGGAATCATGGTGCCTTAACTCTTGTGTGCACTAACGTACCTGAACCGAAATCCAACACAATAATGGGTAAACTGATAGACGATCGTAGTCAGTGGGATTCCATCTGTAGTGCCATCAGCATGCGCACTGAACCCACTACGACGAGACGCATCGCACGACACCCAAACTCATTACACCATGGTGCGCCTCGACTGCTTCGAGTAACACTACATTCCGCGGACGAAACGGAATCCATTGTGCTCGCTGCAAATCGACACCACAGAGCATTGAACAGAGTATGTATCTTACCGGATATTCCGTGGAAAGTAAGTTCAAATGATATGAACAATCAGCCAGGAAGTAGAAAACGCGCTGAAAATCGTCATTATTCATGGCGTCCCCGAGTCTCAGGCTTCATCTCCTGAAGAAGCTCAGGCAAATGAAGTGGAGCAATGGCGATACATTCGTGAGACGTTGTCTTTAGAAAATATCATTGCTACCTCCATGATCAGGATTCCCGCGTCACCAAATTACAAAGGGTGTGGTTCTAGGTTTCTGAAGTTGGTCTTACTCTCTAAGCTAACTGTATAGACAGTTCTAGATAACTATGAAAACGTCCGGAACATGATACCAATAGAAATCCGACTAAAAGCGGCAGGTCTACGTCTAGGGGCTACTGGTTACTCAATGAAGAGAACCAATTCAGTGGGAACACTCGTTGTTGCAAATTTCACCACAGGGGCTGATCTTATCATCCAGAGAGACACCGCAGGAGGTGAGTGAACATCAGGATCATCATGAAACCGATTGCATGGTGCAGATAGTTATTCCAACTCATTCTCGCGAGCCTAAGACTATACAAGAAGTAGTAGCAGCCGACCTCAAGAGAGTCGGTCAAGTCGCAAACTGTCGTCTACGTCCACAAACAACTTTCTAACTCATGAATCACACTCCTGTTTTCATACCAACTCACAAGGTATTTCAAGCAAACTGACGGAGCTTCATCTGCGTCAGGTCTTGATGTCCAGGGACCTCGTTATGATAACCGAGACCTGGTTGAATGAAACGATCACTGATGCAGAAATCGCACTACCTGGGATGTCTATTCTACGCAACGATCGACCAAGTAGAGGAGGTTGAGTAGTACTTTATTATCGCAGCGAACTACACACTGATCTCATCGATGACCCAGAGGTTCAGATGGTCGTTGCGCTTTGGTGTCATCTTCACCTAAGCCGTGAGGACGCATGTTTGTTGAGTGTGGTGTATCGTCCTCCGTCGGCTACTTTGGAAATGGACAACCGCCTAGCCTCTACAATGAAGACCATTCTCCCACAGTCGTGCAGCCACATTCTCCTGGTTGGTGACTTCAATAATCATACTATAGGAACCCCAGCCTGTATCAACAAACACTTCAAAATGGAAGTACAGGAGATAATTAGTGGACTACTAATCTACAATCGCATCACGTCTCCCACAAGACTCAGGACGGGAAACAAACCGGGTGTCCAGGATCGCGCATTCACCAATAAAGAGCTTATGATCGAAACGGTATCGAGAGAGAGTCCTTTGGGTCGTCGCGACTATTCAACACTCATGTTCAATTACATCTGTTATGCAGAGTATTCCTCAGAAAACCCCGAGGATGTCAGCTCATAACGGATTACGGCGCTCTAATCAAACTTATAAATGCGACAAACTGGGCATTTCTAGCAGAAGGATCCCCCGATGACGCCTGGTCTGATTTTGCTCAGCAATTCAACAAGTTAGTAACTAGTACTTCTAGGAAAAGGTCTTTGCAAGCAAAGACAGTAAAATCA